CAACCCTGTCGACTCACCGCTAAACAATGAACTCAAATTGAAAACTACCAAAAGTAGACGTTTGCAATGTTATTCCCTGAAACTTCCAATATGAATTTTGAAATAGGACTTATGACTAATAACAATATAGAAATAGCATTCCTCCAGGGCTGGAGAGATGATCTTACAGAGGACCCTGATTCCGTTCCCAGTACCCACATAGTGGGTAACAACAGCCTGGAACTCCAGTTCCAGGGATATAATGCCTTTACAAGTACCAGGCACAAACATGGTACACAAACATATGTGCAAGTAAACACTTACACTCATGCATAAAATGCATCTGTTTTTAAAAAATGGCACACTGATAAAGTTATCATTCCACTGACTAACCCTGGTGCATTTTTAATTTTTATTACTGTGTGTGCATACATGTGTTCACAAGTGTGTGTGTATGTACATGCGCACACACACACATGTGCACATATGTATGGGTCAGAGGACAGTTTTTGAAAGCTGGTGCCTTCCTCACACCATGGGTTCTGGGGATCAAACCCATGTCCTCGGGCTGGGCCTGTCTTGCTCAGCAAGCACGTTCACTTCTCAGCCGTCTTCCCGGCCCTAGATGAGTTTTGAAACAGGATTGTGTATAGGAGAGGAGTGGGAAAGGGGAGATGGGGGAGAGAAAAAGAGAAGGGGGGAGATGGGGGAGTTCAAAGTAAGGAAGAAAAAGGAAAGATAAATATGTCAGCTTCAGAGCATACCCATAAAGGCCCAGCCTCATTTGAACTCATGTCTGTAGTGATATACAGCTAATCAATCAAGAATATGCTTGTTTTTGTTTAGCAGTTTAATGATAAGATGGTTGTTTTTATTAATTTGGGGCATGCCCCTAACGTCATAATAGTTGGTAACAAACTAAACCACTTAGGGATCTTGCAAGTGACTGTGATTGTCACCGCTTTCTGTGTCATAAAAGGGACTCAAGCAATAAGTCCAAGTCAGAAGCTCTTTGTTAGTGAGATGAACAGTTAAGCTTGCAATGAAAGTCCAGACCAAAGCCCACTTCATTTTCTGTGTGTGTGTGTGTGTGTGTGTGTGTGTGTGTGTGTGTGTGTTTTCTCAGAAATGGGAAAACTATTTATGGTGATCATGTCATCACGTCTGAAGTTCACAGCTGACTTTTGAAGACTTCTCTGGCACACCCATTCTTTATCCTTCATCCAGCAGAGCTGCACTAACACAAAGAACTTTTGAAATGACCAAGTTAAGCTTCAGTAAGAACATGGAACTGTTATCCACTGCAGAACATCCCACTAAGCAAGGGATATTCAGGATGGGACTTCACAACATCACACTTAAGCCTCCTCACTTGCTGCCCTCTCTGTGGCCTTGCTTCCTCCCACTCGTGGCCTGAAAACCTGAGATAATCAATGGACAGCTAGAAGATGTAGGAAGGTGAAGGAATGCTTCCGAAGAAACACAGTCACCTATAGAGCCATCTGTACAATCAGATGGTCTTCCTTGAAATAAAATCTCCTGACTTCAACAAGGGGGGACTGTATTATACTATACCATGTGTGCAGCAGAGAAATTAAAATGGCTGCCAAGAGACAGTACCATATCAAAATCGAATTGTTTTTAATTGACCTGAACCTGATGAAGTCCCAAGGATCGCAGGTTGGGAGCTACATCGGTGAAGCTGTTTTGCATTTGATAGGACTCTCATTTGGAGAAAAGCAGATGTTTATTTGCCCTTTATTATGAGGGGACAGGGTATTTTATTACTATCAACTCTACCATTCATATAGTCAAAAATTCCCACACATATATTTTATGTGCATATTTACATATTCTTTTTCATTTGAAACCCCTACTTTAAAAAAAGAACTCTTGCTACTGTGGGTTCATTGGACTTCTGTATCTTTAGGGGTAATATTATTTAGATTCAGCAAAGATACTAAGTGTAAAGTCATTCATTTTATAGGCAAAAGGGAGCTGAGGACACCGTTTGTGTATCATGTCTATTCCAGGACTCACTTTAGAAAATAAAGCACAAACAAATACAGTTGGTTACCGTGTGTGTGTGTGTGTGTGTGTGTGTGTGTGTGTGTGTGTGTGTATACCATATAGACATATAGAGAGGGGGGATACCTAGAACTAAAATAAGTTTGAGAACTGTATGTGAATCTCGGACTGTTTGGCCTCTCTAGCAGACATTCTGTTCTTATAACAACAGTTGAAATACTACAGCCCACACGCAAGATCCAGACCCTTCGCCATCTCACCCCCTACTCTACCCTTACCCAGTTTCTACAACTGAAGTTTTGTTGGAGGCAGAGACAGGCTGATCTCTTTAAGTTCAAAGCCAGCCTGGTCTACAGAGTGAGTTACAGGACAGGCCCCAAAGCTACAGAGAAACCCTGTCTCAAAACAAAACAAAAAAAAAAAAACCACAAAGTTTTGTTAGACCCTAGCCCCACTGATCTACCTACTCACTTTTTCCAACAATGACAGACTTGAATGGTTGTAACACAGACTACACAACATGCAAAATCTGACCTAGCTCTTTACAGAAAAGGCTTGCTGACTCTTCTATGTAAGAGTCACAGATGAAGTCTATTATAAGTATCACGAGAAGAATCCTAGGAGAAGTCCATAGGATGCAGTTGGAGTTCTTGCTAACTTGTTCTAGAACAGTGGTTCACAACCTGTGTGGTGCGGGAAAATTGTCTGTATTCTGTCAATCATGTATTTTAATAAAACGCTGATTGGCCAGGCAGGAAGTATAGGTGGGTCAACCAGACAGGAAGTAGAGGCGGAGCAATGAGAATAGGATAAGGCTAGGGAGGAGAAAGCTCTCTCAGCCACTCCTGCGCAGACCACCGAAGCAGCAACATGTAAGCTGACAGCTGAGAAAGATACAGAGCCATGTGCTAACGTAGATAAGGATAATGGGGTAACATAAGTTATAAGGACTAACAAGAAGCCTGACCTAATGGGCCAATCAGTTTATAACCTTATGGAGTCCTGTATGTGATTTCTCTTTGGGATTTGCCGGTTGTGGGGTACCGGGCGGGACGGAAACCCCAACATACCGGCCCCTCATGTCACACCTGTGGGTCTTGACACTGTGGAGGTTCAACAGGCCTTTACAGGAGTCACCAAAGACCACTGGAAAACACAAATATGTACACTGAAATTCATAACAGTAGCAAAATTATAGTGAGGAAGCAGCAACAAAAATAATTTTATGGTTGAGGGTCACCACAGCATGAGAAACTGAATTAAAGGGTCATGGCATTAGGAAGGTTGAGAGCCACTAATTTAGGACAAAATAGGGTACTACATTTTTTTTTAAAAAAAAAAAGTATTACTCATTACTCCTTTGTCAAGTCATCTGTTGCATCTTATCTACAAAATGACTTAATGTGCATTTCCTTTTATGCAGACTTCTGCATTCTAAAATCCAGGGCTGTGTATTTGTCATGATTCTTAATCTAAGAGTGAGGCAGGTGTCAGTGAATATGCAATAAGAGAACATGCAAGAGGTGATTTTGATAATAGGTTCTGTTTTATATTTCAAAAGTGTTCAGACAGATGGCATTATTTAAAGAAGGAAGACATTTAAATATTTTGGGAATACTATTTACCCCTATGTCTCTATGCTAGAAGATACAGAAGCCAAATATGATATTGGGGTGAAACTTTTGGGGGGACCATCCTGAGTAAATAGAAATAGCCATTCTATTTACCATTCTGGTGAGAGGTCTAGTGGCCTTTCTACTCTAGATGGTGGCTCCTCCAGGATAAGAAGAGGGAGGCTCTTTTGAAAGGGTCATTTAATATGCCTCCTCGCAGGCAGACTGATCACTTCTGTCCCACAGAAGGCCAACCTCAGACTCAGGAAGCATCTTGGTTGTATCAACAATGGGTTGGTTTACTGTTCAACTTTCAGTTTCCCTGCACTAGCCATGAACTGTTTTAATGCCGTAATTTTCTTATCAGTTCCTTTTCTGCCAAAGTCCTGGTGAAGAAGCCTAGTTGGCTGCCTTGCCAGCCTGCCTCCCTGTGAGAAAGCAGAGGATCATGGGGGTGGGGAGGAGGTCATTATCCCAAAGTTCGTTCTCCAAATTATTATACTAGCTTTTCAGAGAATGTTAATGGATCCCTCCGGGCTTTTTCCCCTAGGACCTCTCAAGGCCACTGAAGTTATGGCTATGGTTGATTAATGAAGAGCAAAAGCTTTTGGGGAATTTGGATATTTTCATACACTCTAAAGAAAGTCAAGAGGGGGAAAAAAGGTCTTTCTAGTGTAGCTTCTTTCCAAAGGTGGGGGTGGAGGAGGCGGAACAAACTGGTATGACTGCTGAGTCTCTTGTTTACTGTAACATGCCTGTGGCTTTCAATCTGAGCGTGGTTTTCTGTGTGATATAAAAAGACATGGAGTTCAGACTGATTCAAAGAATGTGTGAGGAACAAGGCAGCGCCATTCTTGGAAGCTTTAAAAAAAAAATCCCTCTTTGTGCATAAAAATAAATCCTGGGAAGTACACTGAATCTGAGCAAGGAAAGTTGAAGATACGTGTTCCAAACTAGGAGAAAACTCTTCCTGAATGTCTCCAGGGGCTTATTTTGTTATCGACTTTTAGTATCAGTATTAGCCTAGTGTAAGAAGTGCCAGCATCCTGCAAGAGGCCCAAGTGCTGGGATTTAGAGCGAGGAGGAGCCCCACCAATGTCTTGTTGCCACGAAGGGTACAGAGCAATGAGCAAGCAGGTGGTCCGTGACTGGAATGTCTCGCAGCTGGGAGTTCACATGACACTCTCGAAACACACTCCAGCGAGCTCATGAGCTAATGTGAAGCTGCCAGCCCGGGACGGGGTGGAGGATCCTGAGCACATCCTGACATCCTGGTCCAGCTCTGGGAGCGGAGGCAGGTGCGATGCAGCCCCTCACAGCCCCCATGGCCTCCTGCCTGGGGCTTCTTATCCTGTCGTCTTGTTTTCTTATCAACTGCAGGTTCATTCCAGAAGCTTGGTCGGCCTGTACTGTCACCTGTGGTGTGGGAACCCAGGTGCGAATAGTCAGATGCCAGGTGCTCCTGTCTTTCTCTCAGTCCGTGGCTGACCTGCCTGTGGATGAGTGTGAAGGGCCCAAGCCCGCGTCGCAGCGTGCCTGTTACGCGGGACCATGCAACGGGGAAATTCCGGAGTTTAACCCAGATAATGCAGACGGACTCTTGGAAGACTTGCAGGACCTGGGCGAGCTGTATGACTGGGAATATGAGGGCTTCACCAAGTGCTCCGAGTCATGTGGCGGAGGTAAGGAGGGGACCCCAGATCAGTCTACCATCTTCCGGGTGTCTTGTGTTCCCGAGTGCAACTGTGTCAGATGTCTGTCCTAGTCCAAGAATGATAGGTGAAGAAAGGAGAGGCGGCCATTCTAAATGTAAAATATCCCGAAGGAAACTTTGGAGGATTTCTTTTGTCCCAAGTGACTCTCCCAGTCAGCTGTGAGCAGCCAGCACAATCCTGGCTTGCAGCTGTGTTCCAAGGTTACGTTCTCAACACCCCGTTTTACTTGTCTGTGCATTTCCTCCGTGTGTTTTGGGGTGAAAGGAAACCCCACTTCAGCACATCCTACTGTTCTCAAGAACACAAAGAGAGACCCAGAAATTGATTCAGCTTCTTTTCCGAGTGAAGGAGGGTGTATAAAGACAGTGAACGTCATGCGCAACCGGCGCTAGGGGAACAAGAGAGCAGGGAGCAAAAGCAGACCCCGCTCTGTTCTGTAAGAGGGAAACCAGGTTGCAGGGAAGTCGTGGGACTCTCTCCATCCCTCACAGCTAGTAACGATAGCACTGGGCCCAGGCCAAGGCTTCTGGTTTCTGTCCTCACCCTGGCTTTCCATCATATTATACCTCTCTACACTCATACAGAATCCCCGAAGCTTTCTCGTTGTAGGTATTAGTTAATGTCAAATGTTTACATATATTTTCACCTGGCTCCCTTGGGTATATTCCATGATGATCTAGAAATAGTTTCCATAATGTTAGCATTAATGTATTAATGGTGACCAATAACTGTACATATTTATGGAGCAGCGCATGATTTGGTGTATATATTGAAGGGAGATTAAAACCAAGCTACTTAATCTCTTCAGTGATACTTGAGGGGAGCCAGGGAAGTATGTGTGGTTGCATTAATCCATATGGGTGTGCATAGAGGAACCAGGACATGATGCCCAGGGTCTTTGTGAATTACTCCTCCAGACAGACTTTCTCAGAAGCAGGAGCATACTGTTTCAGATTGGGGAGCAAAGTCTCTGGGGTCCTCAAGTCTCTGCAGCCCCTGTGCTGGAATTTCAGATGCAGACTGCCATCCTTGGCGTTGTAGTGTGTGGCAGTGATCAGAACATGGATGGCCATGCTTACTCAGAAAGCACTTGACACACGGAGCCATCCACCCAGCCCCTGTCAGGGATTCTTTATTCAGAATGTTATGAAAAGGAATGCACTAGGAAAATCAATGAATTCTTTATGATATGCTTTGTCATCATGGACAAATATATTGCTATTACAACTATTGTTCACATCAGTCCCAAGAGAGACTTTTTGGACTGGTGGCAGATTGTGGGCTGATTCCCCACCAAAGTCTTAGAGGCTCCACATGCCCAGTGAAGATTTGACTTAACCAGTGGAAAAAAAATAGTCAAATAGTTTCCCAAAACTGTTTTCTAAGCCATGACATTTGGGAAACTCTTTTAAAGGCATCTTTTGTTCTGACTGAGAATGTAAGAATGAATGTGGCCACATTGTCCATCACACGGAGCTGAAAAGGACTGAACTCTGCTAGCAAAGAATGTACTTCTCTCTAGCAGTTCTTTCTAAGCATTTAATAGTTCTGACCTCAAGGTTCATGTTTGTATGCACATCTTCCAATTTCAGGCCCTGGAACTGTTGGAGTGTTTTAATGGAGAGCCCTGCTATTTTAAAATCAAAATTCTTCCAGATGACTCTAGAGGACAGAGTCCTGAAACACAGCTAATGCACTGTGTTCACTTGGTGTGGGTCTCTCACTTTGAGGACATCCTTTCTTTCATGCCTGATGAGAGAGACGTGTTAAATAAACCTCGTTAATCTCTGAACCCCTACAGGACCCAAGAGGCCAGGGGAAAGGCTGGACGTAGCTGGTGACTGTCATTGCTTCTTTTGTTTTTTATTTTGTTTTTGAGACATGGTATCGCCACGTAACCCAGACTGGTCTTGAACTTGTGGAATCCTCAACCGCAGCCTCCCTAATGCTTGTATTACAAGCATGCACTACCATACCCAATTGCTCCTCTTAAATATAATGAGCGACTCTGAATTCCAATGGTTGTGCTTTTAGCCCAGACTTCTATGATCATCTAAACTGAATGTTCATTATATAAACTCAAAAACAAATGTGTTTGGAAATACACCATGCTTTCTCTGGTATGGTTCTCAGTTACAAGTCAAGCCTGGAATTTTATGAGAAGGTGGAAAAATAGATGCAGTAATGGGATATAAAACTAACCAGATACCTTTCTCTTTAAGAATCTAACTCTTCTACTGACTAACTAGGAGTTTAAAATTGAGTTTTTAGGGTATATGTGCAGTATATTAATTTTAAGAATTTTCAGTCAAAACCAAGATTTGGATGTTTGATATACAATTGATCTCTACCTATAGGAACTAAAAGGTTTTGTATGATACCCAAGAGAGGATCAAATTACTAAAATTTCTTAGGTCTTCAACTGTCAACAACTGAGCACAATGTGCCAAGGTAATATATTTACACCTAAAATGTAAGAGTTAAAAATTCTAAAGTGACAAAATTATGATTAGGTCATGTAAGCTATATGATGCCCATATGCACTACCAAATCACTTCAATATACGGGACATGTATGTTTTCAAGTCACTGTGGAACTGACTTCAGCAGAATTTAGGGTGAAGCCTTGGACCTATGGCTTCCTTCCTCCCACTTTTCTCTTCTTTTGTCAGAAGAGGAGGACCCAGAATCGGAATACACTGTGCTTACCCACAAGTTCCCCATTGCTTTTATAAGGTTAGTGTCAGGAGACTAGAGAGACAGTCCAGTGAGTGAGTTTGCTATGCAACCATGAGGGTATGAGTTCAGATCCCACATAAATACTACATAAATAGCTGGGTGGGGTCAAGTAACTGCATGCCTGTCATGTCAGAACTGTGGAGTGAGGGGACAGGATTGCTGGGCCTTACTGAGAGATAGCCTAGCTACAGGCTCAGCGAGGGACCCTGTCTCAGAGAAATGGGGCAGAGAATAATGGAGCAGAGCACCCCCCTCATCTAGCCTCTGCATATATATGCATGAGCAAGCACAAGTGTGCACAGCACACACACACACACACGCTCACACACACACACTACACTTCACACATGCACAAGCATACATAACATATGCATATATATTTGGGTTCAGGATTCTGTTGTTTTGTCTACATTTTTGTACAGTTGTACATTTTTGCCTTCCTCCCAATGCCAGGAATACAGGGAGCGCAAAGAGTCCTCTCCATTCTTTTCGTATTCCCCATATCAGGGCTGCACCACACTCCATGGTCCTTTCTTCCGGCCATCCCATCCCTGCTTCCATTCCCAATTTCCCTCTGTGTTTAGATCACCCTGCCCATTAGTCATTGATATATCCAACCTAGAAAAAAGAGCTATGTTTGACCACAGGATTGGCCCCATGTACAGTTGAAGTGTGGCTAAAAATGCCCAGGCAACTGACCGCGTGACTAAAGAGACTTAATACACAGCATCGCAGAGCGTAGCACATTGTTCTGTAATACCTTAGATTAAAACTTAGTAACTCAGGAGTGATTCTTGATCTCAACCTGGGGCTACCCCATAGGTGCTTTTGATCTGCGATGATTAATGCTCGGCAGAAGTATATATTTGGGATTTAGAAAGCCAAGGGAGGAGATCACTGAGGCCCTGCAGAAACCCTGCCATTTCCACCCCACTCCTTGCCATCTTGGAAGGGCTTAAGTTCTCTAAACAGAGAGTTCTCCGAGTAGAAACAAATTCCAGCCCGTATACACCTAAAACAGGCACTTTCAAGTAAGGCAGATGACAAGCTCTCCGATCACTGGCTGCCTCAGAGTCCCTGGAGCACAACAGGGTGGCGTAAGGCTTACCACAGCCTGGATAAAGCCGAAAGATGTGTTCTAGAGCTTCCCAAATGCTATCAAGCAGACAAGCCAGTAGAAAATGTCTTCCTCGTTATCAGGTCAGCATACCAAGTGCTGGATTTCATCATGGCGTCCTCATACATAGCATTCTCCTCTGCTCTTAACCTTCCCTCTCCTTCCTTTCCCCACCCCACACCTTCCAGCTGGTTCCCTTTCTCCCTTCAGCTAGTCCCCTTTGGACTTTGTTGTTACATGTAACCCATTACTCTACTTCTCATCCTTCTTAAAAGTTATTTCTCCCCTTCTGTAATCCCCTCCCTAGCTTGTAACCCATATATGTGTATGTGTGTGTTTATACATATATTTTATACATATACATATATATTTGCCTGTATATGTAGATACACATGCACACACATGTGTATGTATATGTGTGTACAAATTCCACATATGTGAGAAAAACCATGATTTCAGAGACTGACTTATTTCATTTAACATAATGATTTCCAGTTGCATCCATTTTCCCACAAATGCAATGATTTTCTTTTTCTTTTTCTTTATGGCTGTCTAAAATTCCATTGTGTGTCTGCAACACATTTTCTCTAGCTGTCTGTTGATTACTATCTAATCTGATTCCACTTCCTGGTTATTACGAACAGGGCAGCTATAAACATTGAATATGCAAGTGTCTCTATGGTATGCCTAACTACAGTCCTCTGGTTATACACCCAACAGTGACACAGTTAGATAATGTTTTTATTTTCAGTATTTTAGGGAACCTCCATACTCTTTTCCATAGTGGGTGTACAAGTTTTCTCCCACACCAGCAGTGAATAAAGCTTCCTCTTTTTCACATCCCCATCAACTTTTGTCGCCATTTGTTTTCTTGATGATATACATCCTGATTGGAGTAAGATAGAATCAGTTAGCAGTTCAAATGTGCATTTCCCATGGCTACAAATGTTTAACATTTTTCAAGCATTTCTTCTTCCCCTCCTCCTTTGCTGTGAATGGTGTGTGTGGATGTATGGATGCTTGTGTGCCGTGTGTGTGAGCTGAGGCATGTAAGTGATGTGACGTGCATGTAGGGGTCTGAAGATGACTTGAGGGGCTGCTTCTTGCCTTCC